AAATTGAAATAGAAATTATCCTTCGAGCAATAACAAAAGATATAAAATAACAAGAGTGTTTTAATACTATAAATAAACAACTTAATATTCATTAAAAAGTAATCAAAATTTTCAAATTTTTGATAAATAAGATCGGAACAATGGAGGACGAATACCAAACACCATAATCACATATGATACTCAACTTCAGTCAAACATGTTCAATGCATAATTACACAGACATAGCAATGATATACTATATGAAAATACAACATATCTCATAGCACATTGACCAATGATCTAATTAGTCTAGCATATATAGTGTCCTAGCAAACGTAAACCAGTTATCAATAGTTTCACTTACTATGGCATACAATAGAACTAATGCTGTATTTTTTCATGGAAAAGTCAAACCATTAACGAAAAGCACTGTATCCAACAGCTGAATTTCTTTAACAATTAGCATTCTTAATTTTCGCACACTTTATAAGAAATGAACGAGCTTACCAGGTCTATCAACCAAAATTGAAAGAACAAGGCAATGTCCCAGTATCAGTCTTTCCCTCTGAACAACAGCTCTTCGTTCAACAAGAGCACCTCTTGAGTCAATAAGGTATCGCTCGCATAAGGGCCCACCCAATCCAGTAGGATCCTGCCGATTGAGTTCCTAACAACAAAGAATTTGCTATCATGACAATAATTACATAATAATGCCAAAGAAAAAAAATCAAGTCACAAGATCGTCTAAAAGGACTTTTACATCTAATATTTTCTACTAGACTAAAGCATGCTTTGGCTGCAAAAGTTCAGCTGTAAAGACAATGGACATAGGGGAGAATCATAGGGTTTTTGAAGTTTCGAAAGTAAATCTTTAAAATATATTGACTCATTTGATGTGAACACTATAATCCGAAGCAAGTTAGATCAGAATATTTTAATAGTTAGCTTGAACTCATGTTGATGTTAATGCAAAGTGAGAACAAATGGTACACTAAATGTAATTGAAACTGTCTTTGAATTCAAAGATAATATTGACAGGTAAAAACGAATCTCAAAGATGATTATTACATAGGAAGTGCATTCCCCCAAGTGTCTTGAACTATGAAGCTCATGTAGTTGACAATTTTAAAAAGTATCAGGCAGCATTAACAACAAAGACATAATAGAGCGCACTAAAACAGCAAACAATAATTTTCTGGATGTGGACAAAATTTGTAATGGTCTCAATACCTTATGGTTGCACAATAAGTAATAGCTACACATTCAAAAATAGGATTCAAATAACTAATTGGAGAAAGATTGTTTATTCTCTAAGATCATGAGAAACAAATGGAAGAGTAGATTGAAATGGTGTAGCTAGACAGATATGCTCAAGGATACTCAACGAACAAGAGAATAGTCTTTGCAGTAATGAGAATGATTGTCAATAAGATGAGTGCTTCAGAAGAAATTCAAGCAGCAAAGTAGGAATTATTTAAGTTACGTATATTTGACACCTATGAAAATGTAACTTAAAAGAACCCAAGTGGTTAATACCTTTATAAGAGTAATCAACCGTTGTCTGAGCCCAGCTTTAATAAGTTCTTCTAAGAGTCCCTGAATGTCAGCTATAAGATCAGGTTCAAGCCCCTGGTCCAGAACAACTGCCTATTCAACCAGAAAATGGTAATGTGCGATGACGTTAAGAACACTAGAAGAACAAAAAAAAACAGAAATATAATGAGAGAGTAAGCTACCCTCAGGAGTGTGTATAGCGTTGATGTAAGATCTCTTCTCCCTGTATACCATAGTCCAGTTGCAAGCCGTTGAATCTCAAGAGGGTCCCGTCCCATTAAGCCCCACTAAAAATAGGATAAAATTATTAGAACATATCGCAGAAAATAACTCCAGAGCTTTAGAAGCTAAGAGATGAGAGTAGAAGCAAAGCGAAGGGAATCGCACCTCCTGATTTGCAGATACAAGCAGACGAACAGCATCTATCTCATTTAGGTGAAGCTCATCACTCAGTTTCAAGCTCTACAATCAGTAACAATATATGAAGAACATAGGCCGTTAGAGTTGTTAAAGGCACCTTTTTCTGAAGCAGTAAGATATCAACCACATATATTATTGCACATATTTCAAATTAAACAGAAGCTTAAAGGTTGTAATGTGTGTCAAATGGTAGATTTAACAAATCATCAGGACAAACCACAATCCCAATGAAAAGAAGCTCATGTGTGTGTACATCGGAAATGAGCAGCAACCAAACACATTCTACAAGTTCAACATGGTAAAGAAAACAGTGAAATTCCGCCTTGTTAGACATCTACTTAGACAACCATTTTATTCAGTCCATCCACAAAATTGAAGCAAAACTTGCTTTAATCGGTGTCAATTGTTCTCATACCTAAATTCTAAAATCTAAACCTCCACTAGACCAAGAATGTCATATAGAAGTCGAAAGAAACACTTACAATAGCGACATCTTGGTCATCCAAAGATATTGGCAGCGAATCCGGGAGTCGAATTTCTTTAGACTGAACTTGAGCTCTGTCCGACGGCTTCGGAGGCTGCCAGAGATTAAAAACAAAAAGATTTGGTTACTGTACCCAGAAAACAGAAGGACGCATCATCGAGTACAAGGAACTTGAGCAAGTACCGGGAAAGAGAGGAGGTTCTGAATAGAGGAAAATGAGTTGCGAATGGCATGAGTGAGTTCGATACGCTGCGTTGGAGTTGGCCGTGACGTTCCGAGCAGCGAAGAGTGTACTATGGCCACTAACTCTTTCGGCGACACCATTATATGTAGCAGATGAGATACTAGGTCTCCGGCGGTGACCGGAAAAGGAGAATCTGGAAGCGAAGAGGAATTGGAAGCGTTCAGTGATATGTAGTTTACTCTATGGAGAAATACGAATTTTAAGTTTTAAATCCGAGGAAAAACAGAGGAAAGCGAAGAAGGAGCACTTAGGGTTTTTTAAGTGAAACGCGGCCTTTTTTTATTTTCAATTTTTTAATTTAGTTTTTAATCTCTTTATTTGGATCTTTGTTTCTCTGATCACCGGCCTTTTTTTTTGCCGGTAACGTCAGAGGTATGTTAGGGTTATTAAATTTAGAAGATGGTGGTTCCGACTTATAGAGGTGAGGTTTCAGATTTAAGAACGAGGATTAAACTTGAGGCGTCTGCCAAACCCGAATGGTAATGCGATCGTGGTGATTTGGTTGTCGGTTCTACGGATTTTTTTTTTTGTGTGATTAGGCTGTTTTAGGTCATTTGGAAGAATGTGGTTCATTGGTTTGAGACTAGGTGGAGGCAAGATTGGAGTCGCCGCGAATCCTTTGATCGATAGCGCGGTTTGACCGCGAATGAATCTAGTCTCGTTTTCCAGCCATAATTATCTTGATGGTTATGTCTCCTTAGATGGCCGATTCTTTGTTGTTCCTATCATCTTCTCCCCTTTCGTCAGCATACATATCGGCGAAGCTTTTGAACTTTTGCGAGTATTCGAGTTTTTTAACGGTCTATTTGATCGTTTAGGGTCACGGGTTTGCTCTTTTTTATCTTGGAGAGGTACATGTTAAGTAATGTTGTTTGGTTTAGGATTGTTTTCACTTATCCTTCTATTTTAGGTCGTATTACTGTGAGTCTAACTCACACCCAAAAGCTACCTCAAAGAAGGAGGATTGCCACACACTTATATATGGGGAATTTTGCTAACTTTCAATGTGAGACTCTAATTCACCCCCTCGGCCCTCATACTCAGGACTGTACATCTGAAGCAAGAATTTTATGAGACTAGACATCCATATGTGATAGCCCATAATCGACCTTGGCTCTTGTACCATATTAGTGTGGGCCAAACTCACACCCAAAAGCAAATTAAATAAGGAGGATTGCCACACATATATATTGCCCAAAGAATTTTGCCAACTTCCAATGTTGGACTCTAATAGGTAGTTGAATCTTTGTAGTTATAGTATCCTTCCACTGTTTTTAGTTTAGTTGAATAATAAATAGGTTTTCTCCCGTGGTAGTTTCCTTGATATATTTTTTTAGATTTCTCCAAGGTCTTATATAGACTTCGTCATCATTTTTCACCTAAAGACATTTAAACTTCCTTAAAAGTAAAAAAGACGTATAAGTTATAACGATCGTATTGTGGACTTGTAAGGTTCTCCACGAACTGGAGAAGAATAAGATGAATGCACATATAATAAGTTCAAGTCTTCTTAGTGAATACAAGGCTTAACTGAATCAAATCCAAAGAGATTTTACGACATTTTTCAAAATACGTTCTGAAGAGATGGTCTAGTGGACGTATGATTCTCACATTAATGGGAAGAAATTAAACCCTATTGATGATCATTTATTCATTTGTACAGGGAATGTTGTAATATATTGTTATCTGGTTCTTTCCACGACCTAGTCTCTGAGGTATAAACAGATGGTTAGAAAAATTTGATCTTTTTGTTATTTATGTATTTACATAGGGTCTTGTAAGTGTGTCAAAGGTAAATTCGTTCAAAATGCCATTTTATGATCCAAGCGAGGAAGAAATGAAGGAGGTTATAAGAACAGAGGGATAATCCTTCCAAATAAACGACTTGCATAGAGACATACATTTGGTGTCTAACATAGGCAAGAGGATTGTGAACATACACATTAGTGCATCAACCTTTTCCAAAATACAACTTAATTTGTGTCAACTTAACTTTACCCAAAAAGTAAGAAAAAAGTGTCAATTTTCTTTTCTCTTAAAAAAAAAAACATTTTTAATTTGTGTCTGGGATATGAAGAAGCCTGGAAGTAGACACTAGCTTTGATGATGGACCCTCACAAGAAAAAGACAGAGCCACGAATCGTTCCTTATCTTAAAATAATAAGTTATAGAGTAGTCCACTTGCCACACTCCAAAGCAACAATGGAACTAAACAAGTCAAAACAATTGAAAAGGATCCTTCCTCTCTCCAACCCAAGAAGCTAACCACGAAACCTCTCCCTCCCACTTTTATATATAACCTCCAATCACAAACACAAACACAAACACAAAGAAGACTCCAATATCATTCATCTATGGCTTCTTCACACCAACAGCAACAAGAACAAGACCAATCAGCTTTAGATCTCATAACCCAACACCTTCTTACCGATTTCTCTTCCTTAGACACCTTTATCTCCTCAATCCAACACTGCACCACCTCAACTCTAAGCCAACGGAAGCCACCTCTTGCCACTATAGCAGTTCCTACTACTGCACCAGTGGCTCAAGAGGATGATCAGAGGCATTACAGAGGCGTCAGGAGAAGACCATGGGGTAAGTATGCGGCTGAGATCAGAGACCCAAACAAGAAAGGTGTTCGTGTCTGGTTAGGCACTTTTGACACAGCCGTGGAAGCTGCAAGAAGTTACGACAAGGCTGCTTTTAAACTACGAGGAAGCAAAGCCATTCTTAACTTTCCACTAGAAGCAGGCAAGCACCAGGAAATTGGAGACAACAACAAGACAGTCTCTTTAAAAGCAAAGAGGAAGAGACAAGTAACGGAGGATGTTAGCCACCTGATCAACCATAAATCTGTGAAGATGGAAGAAACTCAGGCTCAGGCTGATGCTTGTCCATTAACGCCGTCAAGTTGGATAGGGTTTTGGGACGGAGAAGACAGTAAAGAGATGAGAATATTCTCAGTGCCTCCGTTATCTCCTTATCAATCTCTTGGATACTCTCCACTTGTGGGAACGTAAGCTTCTGAGGATCAAACTGGGAAAATTCCAACATTAGATGACATTAGCACATGTGTTAAAAGCTTCTAGATTAGCTGATTGTAAAAAATAATTTCATATATTCATTTTATTCATCTTAAATGCAATTCTTTCTACCCTTCCTTAACGAGCACAAGAGGGTGATTGTTTTCTTATAGTTTGTCCTTAAATGAAAACAAAGAGGAAGTTCGAACTTACAAGACCTACAAATGAGCCATTCAAGTAAAATGATTGCCTCCCAGACTTTGGTCGCTGTCTAGTAGTGCAGATATACCCACAAACGTATGCACTTTGCTTCAACCCTATAAATTTCACCATAGAACAAAAACTGTAATGAGGTCATAAAGTCGATGGCAGCATATAGTTTGATCACGATTGCTCACTGGGTTACTGATGATGCTGAACTAAATTCTTACAAAGCGACTACAAGAGAAATTGAACCTACCTTCAAGAGAACCAAAAGATCAGAGGATGATCAGAGGCATTACAGAGGCGTGAGGCGAAGACCGTGGGGCAAGTATGCAGCTGAGATCATCAGAGACCCAAACAAGAAAGGTGTTCGTGTCTGGTTAGGGACTTTTGACACAGCCATGGAAGCTGCAAGGGGTTACGACAAGGCAGCTTTTGAATTACGAGGAAGCAAAGCCATTCTTAACTTCCCACTTGAAGCAGGCAAGTTCGAGTACTATGGAGACAGCAGCAAGACTGTCTCTTTAAAAGCAAAGAGGAAGAGACAAGTAACGGAGGATGAAAGCCACCTGAGCAGCAATAAAGCTGTGAAGAGGGAAGAGGCAGAAATTCAGGCTCAAGCTGAGGTTTGCCCGCTAACACCATCAAGTTGGATGGGATTTTGGGACGGAGAAGACAGTAAAGAAACGAGAATATTCTCTGTGCCTCCGTTATCTCCTTATCCATCTCTTGGACACTCTCAACTCGTGGTTACGTAAGCTTCTGAGGATCAAACATTAGGTGACATCAGAAACTTTGGTATATATATCTACAAGTAAAGCACCAAGAAGATGATTATAAATAGAACTTACTAATAAAGGGTGGTTGTGTTCAAAGCTTCTAAATTAGCTGATTGTAAGAAATGTTTTGCTATATTTATTCATTCATTCTTCTTAAATGCAATTCTTTCTACCGTTCCTCAAACGCGCTCAAGAGGATGATTATATTCTTATAGAACAAAGAGGAAGCTCAAACTTACAAGACCATGCTTATGAACCCTTCGAACAATATGATGGTGAAAAATCATAGACTTTGGTCGCCATCTAATAGAGCAGACACCCATAAACAGATGCACTTTGATTCAACCTTATAAATTTCACCATAGAACAAAAAATCTCATCAGGTATTAAAGTAGATGGCAACATATAGGTTGATAACGACTGACCCATTGGTTGTTGAATGATGGTGAACTAAATTCTTACAAACCGACTCCAAGAGAAGCTGGACCTACCTTCAAGAGAACCAAAAGATAAGATATCTACATTTTGGAAGAGCTGATCATGTACAATACACAAATTGACTACACATAGACAATTCCATGGCCGCGAAAGGGTCCTACAGAGACAAAAAAAAACTACTTTGAACCTACCGAAATGTTCATCATAACAATAATTTGGACCATGTTTAACTAAGATGAAAATATGCTCCACAACATCAAACTAAGTGGGTCATCGATCAAAGTCAGAGTTCCCATTTTAGATCTCAAATCCTCTCCTTCTCTATTGGACATCTGAAGTAGAAATTTCACACACACATGTTATACTGAAGACAGGCATTCAACTAAAAGTACACAAGACAATAAGGCAACAACCTAGGGAGGTCTTAAACCAACAAACCTGTCTTTGCCAGTATCAATGTCCACACTAAAGAGATACAGAATGCTCAAGACACACAGAATTCAATACGATATAAGAAAAAAGTAAGCCATTCCTTTGTCACCCCTTCCAGTCTCCACCAGGGCTTCAGCTTCCAGATGTACTTGATGCTAAGGTCGTAACATATTCACATCATACAACATGACAAGATTATCTAGACTATTTCAAGTCATCAAATCAAAGGAAACAACCACCAACTCAGTAGGTAGGAATTCTTCTAAGTAAACAAATATATAGGCACAAAGCTTTCATTTAAAGTACGCTATTTTATACTTTCCATTGCAAAATATCCATGAATACATGATACAATTGAATTGAACAAGATTTGCTTTGCTGCTAATACCAAGTATCAAATACATTGGTCATAATCGACGTCTTGCTACCTGTGCAATTACAGAGAAAATGAGATGATTTTATAGTGTAAACAACTACGTGACATATAAACGTCCAGTGGAAAATTGTTGCTTTACTATAAGAAACTTAAGTCCTTAATTATCGGGTCCCAGACTCTTTGGTGATGAAAAGTTTACTGATTTAAGCATGGAAATGATCGATAATATGCTCTATGACATCTGCTCCTTCTATATGCATATCTTCATTTTTAACCTGTAAACGGCATAACACAAGATATTAGACTTCATGTTTTTACTAGAAAGTATGTGGAGATTAATCCTATCAAAATGAATGAACACTATGTTATCGTTCAAGCTTATATAACAACAGAAAGATAACTATCAAGAGAAGCTGCAATTAAAAAGCCTTCGGAGTGAGGATAAACAAATGTTACAGATGAGGGATGGCAGGTGAGAGTGAGAGACCTGTATAACACTATGGGCAGCAAACCTCTGCCTGCTACTGTGAAAGCTAACATCAACTTTCTCCCATGAGACAGAGGAGAGGCCTTTGATCATTTCTTCTGCAAAATTGACAAGGCACTACGTTATTAAATACATCATGTTGTACATGAATAAGAAAGTAGAAGCACTACATATGGTAGCCCAACATATGAATTGTTTGTACTGAACACTTCTTTTACCACCTAATGAGATTTAAAGCATAGAAAGTAGAAAGAGAAATAAGAGAAGTGAGCAATAAGTTCTACAAAATCACTGCTAAATGCCTAAACGGTCAGTGCATTAAGTGCAAGCTAACCTTCTATGTCGTCTGAATGATTCTCGCCTTCTGGTATGTCCTCAGCATCACATGCCTTGCAGAGTTCTTCGTAAACAATATGAGGATACTTCTCATTCAGAGAATCTTCCCACTGGTAAACAAGAAATTATTCAATTATCAGAGAGACCCATTATAACAAAATCCTGAACCAAATCAAGTAATCCAGTCAAAGTCACATACCTTAGGCAATTCACAGTCACGTCTAATAGATGCCGTCTTCCAGCCAACGACGTCTATTCAGATCTAGTGAAGGAAAAAAATGTAATGTCTGATGCTAAAAAGGACATTACTAACAGTAACACACATAAAGGATACGATCATGGCTGACATTTGAATAAGCCACCCGCCTTTTGAAGGCTCGCAGTGCAGATCTGCAATTGAGGAAAACGTTTTCTAGTGAGAACATCTTCGACACATGGTCAGGTGAACTTACTAGTGACAAATGGGGCATAGAGTGGCATACATGAAATGACAATCATCGGTATCTTCCACCATGCGTCGCAACAAGGGTGGTTTTCCCTCTTCTTCATCTTTCAAGAAAAGGTGACGGCCCGTTCTTTTAAATATCCAGTGGATAATGAGACCTGCAACTTTCTCAATGGAAGAAAAACCAAAGAGAAACGGAACCTGGAAGAAAATAACAAAGTTGTTCTAAATCTTATGAGAATAACATCCAGAAATAAGTGAAATGATAATTCAATCATACAAACAAATTATCATACAAACAGATTTTCATGGTTCAAGAAAGCAAGGATCAATCATATCTTATATACATTACGTTGGTCGAAAGTTGGGTAAACCTAGGGCCAAGTTTAAAGTAGCTTTACTAAGATAGCAAACGATTCATGTTTACTTTGTTTGTTTTTTTTCAACAATCACCAGAATTATGTTTTTTTTTTGGGGCAAATCACGAGAATTATGTTATGCAATGGAATTTGTAGAAGAAAATTCATTTCAAACAATTTGTAAAGACGATTAGCAAAACAAATCACTACAAGAAATGCACTACGCATGAACTTAAGTAGAGTTACCTGTTTATTACCCATAGAACCCAAATGTGGTGTAGCTACAGTAATAAAGTTCATAGCCTCGAGTCCACATATTGTGCCTTTGGGAGGCCCTTCACTACTATCCGCTAACGAGTCTTTCCCATCTTCCTGACTAGCAGGCTTGTACAATTTCCCAATTGCATATCTTGCTGCAAGCCCTCCCAAAGAATGTGCAACAAAGGAGATTTTACGGATATTTGGTCTTCTTTGAATAATATCAAGAACCTAACATGCATTTCGTAACATCAAACAGAGTCCAACTAACTTCACAAAATGTAAATGAAAAAGCACGTATGCGACGTCTTACCTCAGCTGCTAGACGTTCACCCATTACATCCACACCATCTAGAGTAAGCGCAGACACATTCTTTTCACTACCTGCTTAAAAAACGGCAAGATCATTAAGAATCTTGGAGCATGCAATATAAGTCTCATCAAGCATCAACATTACAATTTAAAGATGATTGCCAGAGACACAGACCCAATTAGAGCAAGAAATGGAATATAAGAACCTAATTAATAGCTGAGAGATTAGAAAAAGGGTCCACTAATTAAGTTTATATATGTCAAGGAAACTAATTTCCAACTTGCAACTTTTCTAAAACCATCACTAAATCAGAAGGAAGACTACTTACAGTGAACAAAGACTTTATCAGGAAGCTTTTTGACGAATTGCTCAGCTCCAAACTTCCAATCATCCGTACTGCAGAACCAAATTGCTTGTGAAGTAAAAAGAGAAGAATCTCAAACAAAAATTCTCAACTCCATCAAAGTTTGTTTACCTTCCTAAGATCCCATGAACCATAACGACAAGGTGATCAGCGGAAGAAGAATCAGAATTCTGACAACTCCAAACATCAAGGCTCCCATCAACAGATTCCGCCTTGCAAACACCGTTCTCCTCCTCGTGATTCTCCATGGGATCCAAATTACAATCGAATTCGATCGGATCAGATCCAATTAAAAGCAGAGACACCCAATTTCAAACTCGTGGATCAGAAAAACTGGAGGATTGGATTTGGTAAAGAGTAGAAAGTGTGAAGTGGGAATTGAAGCGAGCACGAATGAAGCAGACTTGCCAGAGAAGGAAACCGAAGGAAAAAAACAACGAAAAATGTGTAACGTGGAAGTAAGGAATCGTGAAGTCGGCTTCGATAGAGAGATACCGACTTCCTGGGAACAAACTCGTTTGCTTTTCTTTTTTATCTAACAAAATAATAATTTGGGGACACAAACAGCTAAAAGATAATGACTTTTTTTTTGAGTTTTTCTGAACTAACAACAAAATATCTTTGACTTCACTGGTGTCTTTCTTTCTTCCATTATCGCCATAGAACGGGTTCTTGTTAATTTAGTTACAACGGAACTCCCATAAATGTTTTTTGAGAAATTCAACTGTATTAGACTGTTAATTAATACGGAAGTTACCATAATCTTTCTTAGAACAGCAAAGAACGTTTTCGTTTTGATTTTTTTTTTACTTTCCATGAGTTATGGTTACCCTTTTACAATCATATTGGCTTCCTTGTGATTGTTGCCCAAAATTGCGCTCTCATTGGTCCCAAAATTTAAGTTTTATAGGTATGTGGTCTTGGCCATACGGAAACCTTAATGACTACCATTACTTTCAGTGTCAGACGTTTCAAACCGCATGCTCTTTGGGTCATATATAGAGATCGTTCACTTTGGATTATATTAGTTTCAGGCTTGAGATTTCGATAATTGGCAGTGACATAGAATGTTATAACCACATCACAACCTATACTATAGATTATGTTTAAAGTCATGTTCGGTTACTTCATGCAAACAATTTTAATGGATTATAGCCAAATTGGTAGTTGTCAGTAAACTAGAATCTGGCAAATAACATAATTGAACAAATTTTGATTCAGAAGCTAACTGTTGTAACTTCACTTGGAGATGCACATAGTATCTCTCAGATCAAGTGTTGGATTAGATTAATTTTGCTTCATCATTATCATCCATCTAATTGCATTGTTCCTGATTTGAAAACAAAAATCAAACTATTCAAAACCAATTACGAGGATTAAGGAGATAACTCAGTAGTGGCTAGTGATTTAGGTTCGATTCTGCCAGCAATTCTCTTCAGCTTAATCAGAAGAGGGAGCTGTATATCCTCATCGTTATCTCCAAAATTATCATCAAAATCCGTAAAAACGATTTCAAAATCAATTAAAAAAAAAGAAGCAAAAATCGATTGCCAGGGAAAAGTTCAGATTCGAAAACGAAAACAAAACAGATTTAAGGGAAAAGAGAGAGAGAGAGAGAGAGGAAGGCTCAGATCAGCGGGGGTATCGACACAGAAACGAATCAACCAATAATGGAAGAAACGCCTAATTCCGGTCTGTTGAGCTTGAAATTTCCGAGTCATCACTGCCAAACTCTCTCTCTATCGAGAAACATAAAAACTATCAATCAAAAAACCAAAGAAACCATAAAGACGAAGATTGAAAACTGAAGAAGAGAACCCTAGATTCAATTGATGATGATTCTTCCGGCGATTGGTGTCTAATTTATAGGGAACGTAATTAGGGTTTTGCGTGATCGTCAGTGAAGGCCCATTTTCGGCCCGTTAGAGGTTTCCGAATTCTGCTGCTTTGTTTTCGCGGATGGTTCGGTTTAGATTGGTCTAAGTTAATTTGGTTCGTTTAGAATAATTTTGGTTTAATCTGGTTCATGCTTGAAATCAAAATCTGGTTTATATAGTTTCTCTGTTTGTTCTTTTTTTTTAATTGACCGGCGATGGAAGCATTGAGAGCGTCCTACGGCGACGCTTCATCGGACTCCGATACCGATGATCTTCCTCCGGCGGTCTCCGTTTCTGAAAATTGCAGCGAGAAACCAACGGCTCTGAAGCAAGAGAAGGAGTCGATTTCCTTGCCTCCTCCGCCGCTTGCGCTTCTCGATTCCATTGTATCCACAGGTGAAGATGCTCATGAATTGTCTCTATGATTCTTCCTCAATCTAATTCTTACACTCATCACTTACTTATGATTTCTTCTGAACTTGAAGGTTCGCTTGACTCCACAGAGCCTGGAGTTCGTGTAAGAAACTTTCCTCACGTCGATGGAAATTACGCCTTGCACGTTTACATACCTGGTAATCTCTTTCAGAATCTGTTTAGTGTAAGAGGATAAGTATGTGTTTGAGAATGAATTGTTGAAGTGTTTATTTTGTTTTTGGGTTTTAGTTTCTATACCTCCACTGCCGAAGAAGGAGATTGTTTGTTTCTTAAAGAGGGTTGCATCAGTTGTTCCTCATCTTCATTTGGTGGAGGCTGATGTTCCACTCAGTATTCTATGCAAGGATGACCAGAAGTTTGAGCGTGCCTTGGGGAGAGAGTTCCACATTAGCTTAGGAAGAAACGTTCCTCTACGTGTTCATCAGATTAACTCGGTGGTTTCTATGCTTCGGCAAAAGCTTCAGTTGCAGAAGAGGTAAGATCATATCTTGTTTACCATGATGAACCAATTAGGATGTGCTTTGTGAATTGTTTTCTGTTCTGTGCTTCGACAGATATTCAATCGATTTTAATAAGTGGGAAGTCTTTGTGAATGACGACTGTACTCGCTCTTTCCTTTCTTTGGAAATCACCACTTCAGGACTATCCGAGGTATGTTGTACAACAAGAGTTACTTTGAATATTAGCTTAGGTATTGCACTGATGCTCATTTCTTTAATTCAGATAAGTAAGCAAATTGATGCTGTTAATGAAGTATACAAGCTTCACAATCTGCCAGAGTTCTACAAGGTCTAATTGCTTTTCTATATAAAAGCTTGATTGTATATAACAAATGTCTCTGTCACCAACACTTAACCCATCGCTTCAATTTTCATATAGGATCCGCGGCCACATATATCCTTGGTCTGGGCGTTGGGTGATATTAGAACTTCCCTAAAGGGAGCTGTTGACGCGGAACTGAGGAAGCTTAGAGCTGGTGGTTGCGTGCAGAATCGTATCTTCACCTCTAAGTTTGGTGGGATCGAGTGTAAGATAGGAAACAAAACACACAAAATATGTAAACTCCCAGATGAATAAGAAAATCCCAAATTTCTGTGTTTCCTGACCTATCAGGTCTGCATTTGTAACGACATAGAAGCATGAGTTGATCTGTGATCTTAGGTGTTCCACATTATATGTCTTCATAACTCTTAGAAAAAAAGTCTTTGTATATCATAACATCACTCGTAATAACAATGGTGATATCTGGACAATGCAACAACAGGTCCTTGTGATTGGAAGAAGGTAGATATTGAACTGGCTACTATTATGTTACAAAACGTTTACATGAAAGTGAAATCATGGAGCAAAATTTCTGGGACCTGGAGTCCAAGAATTGAGTGAGCATGCCAATAGGCTGCTCGAGCAACCTCATCAAACTCGGGGTGGTAGCAGCGAGGATGGATGTGATGAGAATACAGTAAAGCTTGACATGATCAGGTGCAATGCTGGTCATGGCCGTGTTGTGCGAGAAATACATAGCAGTCATACAGATCTGAAGCTGGAACCGCAATGGGAACCCGAGGGTGAGAATGTTGAGCATAGAAAGTGAAACCGAAAACCCAATTGTGTTAAAGAACACAAACAAAGTGAAAGCAACTCCGTTGAAAGTCCCCATGATAGATTGCCCTGCTATATGAGCTTGTTGATTAGTAGTATTCACACTCGTTGTGTTCTGGGATACAGCAGGTATTGAGCTATCTTGCCAAGTTCCACCTGGTGGAGTCAAGCTGGCCTGAAACGTGGCAGTGGCGACTAGTGAAGCCACCACTAGTAACGCGCTACGTGCTTCTGATGGTGAGTCTCTGTGCTTTTTGAAAGTGAAGTACTTAACAAGTTCTTTGTGGCTTTGAGACTCCATTGCCCTCTCTTGGCATGTGGAAGTAGAAGTGGTTCTCTCGACATTAGTGGTACCAATGTCTCGCCCTCTCTGAGCTCCAGCTTCGATGAGTTTCTCATAGATTTCTCTATCGCCAGCTTCGCTTGGAAACATAACCAGCAAATCCATCGCAGATAGACCCATCTTGTTCATAGCATTCACCTCAAATGACCTAGACTCTTCTGGTATTGCCTGAACCAACACTTCAATCACCTGTAGGCAAGAGAAAAACAGAGTTTGATTCCACTCGAAAAAAACTATTTAACCGCAACGTAATTCTTCTTACCTGGCGATTTTTTCTCCAGGTTGCAAGATGAAGAGCAGTGTTACCCTGTTCATCTTTCTTGTTCAACACATCAATTCGATTTGTCTCTGTGATCAACTCAACAATGGCTATGACTGCTTCGATCTCTTGGTGCAGAACAGCAAGATGCAAAGCAGTTTGACCTTGTACCGTCTCGTCTTCTATGCAATCACCACAGCTCGCTACAATCTCTCTGATCACATCGATTTTCCCTGTCATCGTTGCCACATGAAGAGGAGTCTTTCCATCTCTATCTTTGAGGCGGCAAAGCTTCTTTTCAACCCCCAAAGTTGCCTTCACAGTCTCTACTTGCCCGGCTGCTGCAGCTGCATGAAGCGGGCTAAAACCGTTTTTGTCCAAGTCAAAGACTGCGCGCTGCCGGCGGACATACTCTTCACTCCTTGGGTTAAAGGAGTTGTAGAGAGGATCAGACACGATCTCCTTCGGTAAATGAGTCTCAAAAGCATCCATTTTGGTGATGATGCAGGAGAGAGAGAGAAAGAGGAGATCGACTTGAATATACAATGAAGGTGTGTACCATCACGACAATTGTTTGAAATTTTCTATTACAAAAATCTCATTGACATTTGACTTCGTAGCATATGAAGAATTCCTTAAATGCTTACAAGTGTCAAAGGTTTGTTTTATATCTTCGAATTGTAGTTAATTTTCTGACCCGCAGACTGTACAAACTGACCCATAGAGACGAAAGCACTACATTTTGAGTAATAAAATACCTTTTGGAGATGGGATTCGAAAGACGAAGTCAGATCTTAGCCGAATTGACTTATTTCCATCTGTTTCACATGATGAAACACCCTTTTTTTTTGTTGAAGTGAATATGTTAGAACAAAGATATAAAGGAACGTATAAAGAGAATAACAAAAGAATGAATAAGAACAATAAGGAATTATAACAGACGAGTTTGGCAGAAAGGTGAAACAGTGAAAACTTGTGTCGTACCATATATGATTCAGCAGAATGGTGGTACAGAGAGATTGTATTGGAACACTGTTTTGTAACAAAAAAAAAAAAAAGGGAGCATAATAGATTACTGGTGTGAACAAAACAAGACAACTCGGTTTCTACCTATAAGCTTGACTCGCTTGCCATAAATCTTCTCCATTCTGCAACTTCTCAATGAAATAAAGAAGAGACAGTTGTTATTACGTGAAAGAAAATAAAACACTTAAAAAGCTCCTAAATCCTACGAATCACTTCAATCTTAAGTTTTCTGTGGAGGAACCCTTCCTTTCTGGAAAGTTTCACAATAACTTCCTGAAATACAATCAAAATCATGATCCGTAAAGGGTCCTTTTTGGTTTGTTCAATTTCAACGTCAGGTGCTAATACAGTATCAGACAGCTTTTGCTTCTAAAGACCAGGAATTGCTTCCAAGTTATACTTTTCTTCTGCTTTCGGAGTTTCGCCTTCTCGGCTCTCCTGCGTTTTTGGTTTCTTCAATGCATCTAGAGTCTGGAGATATGTATAGGAAGAATTATGAGGGTATTTGCTGCTAGGATTGCTTATTTGACTAGCAAGAAACCGACGGATGAGTCCCCTCAGAAATGGAGCCATCGTATCAGGTTCATATTCTAGGTAGTACATGATTCCTCCCATACATCCACAAAATAAAGCAACCTGTTTCCATTGGTTGGATAAAACATCAGTTCCGCTGTTAAAAGAGGAAGAAAGTTGGATACAACAATAGTTTGTATTGTACCTCAGCATTTTTAATATCGGGAAGAAGGTGGCGATTAATAAGTATCTCCCACAGAGAATCTCCTGCTCGAGGAAGAACATACAGAGCAAGCTCAGACCGTCTCGGTTTTTTTTCCAGCATAACTGAGAGGGCTGCTACACCACCCGCAAACCAATAAACGAGCTTGTGGTCCTTGGTTGCAACTTTTCTATGGGCACATATGAAAGCCTAGTGCAAATAGGAAAGAAGGCACATACATATGGGAATGGTTTTACGAAACTATGAGTATTGTATGAATTGAGGGGACACAATCAAATGTAAAAACCAGCTACCTGAAAAATCCCAACAAAAGCAGACAAGAAGGACGTCGATCTAACTGAATCTCTGATTGCAAGCCAAGATGTCCGGTAAGGAGAAGCCATGAACTGAAAGTGTAGGATGGCATCAGAAAATACATATCATGTCTGACTAATGCATAAACCATAGGAATCTAAAACACCAAAACTGCAAATGTTTAAAGAAAGTCTTACCTTTTGCAGGTGTAGAACGACATATGGGACAAATGTCAGGGAGAAGTATAATGGAAATGTTTTCTTGAATGTAGCTGACATTGCGTTAGCATTTTGGGCTAGACACGAGTTAGTGTTTGGATGAATAGCTGAACAAGGGATGATGGAAGCAAATTCTTCCACCTTCACGTCACTTGCTTCGTTTTTACTAGAAATATAGGCTGATAAGGAGGCTACATCAATTGGACCACCTCTGCAGCATTCTCTTACAGCCTGGTAGACAGGCCTTGCAACTGGACCAGTCTTCTGAATAAATTCTCTATATGATTTTGGCAAGGTTTCAGGACGCATTATAAAGGAATACATAACCTGCACCGACCTCATTGCAACAAAATTAGCTTGCTGATAATCACTACTAAATCAGATAAGAGAGAATATGTATGGTACACAAAACTTTTCTTCAACGTCTATACCATTTCCATTACTAACTAGAACAGGAAGAAAAGAGAAGAATCTCAATTACCTGAGCACATGCAAGAGAAAAAAGTAATGAATCTCCATGTCTCCAATGGCTACCCCAAAGATGGAACTTGTTCTTTGACTTTGCGGAATTATAAGCCGCCTATTATTAAGAAAAATGATCAGACTCCCAAAATACATCTGTATAGTGATATTACTTGTACGACAGACAATACTATGACCATTGGATGTACCTGGCCTAATCTAGCCAAGAGGTATAGAGCAAGCGTGCGCCGCTGGTTGGAATCATCTAAAGCCATGATAGACAAACCCGCAACTGAACCTGCTAAGACTCTGCTCCACCCTTAATCAAAGTCATAATAAGGAATATACTTTTCAAGCACTATGCACAAGCATACAGGAGATACAACCCGAAATAAAACAAACCATAAACTTACGAATTCAATGGCGTTTCCTTCTTCCTCCACTTCCTCAAGCAGCATCTAAGGGCATGATACGAGCCTGTAAAGCCACCAAAAAGTAGACCAATACGACATGCTTCTTCCCGAACTATTAAATCTTTCTCCGAGACAAGTTGCTGCAACCATTGTTCATGTGTGAGTGAATCACATATAACATTTTAGAAACAACTCGAATTTTATGTCCAAGTCAATGACCAATTGGCTCTAATTTCAAAACAATCGTATCAAATGGAACACTAAAGCAGAGACTCGTAAGACTCTAAATCTCCAACAAAATTCACCAACTATCAAACACAAACCATTAAATTGCCACAAAATCACAAAAACAATCCCAATTCATCACCTTCAGATCGAGAAGAGACGAATAAGACTGTCCCCTAGCGAGCTTAAAAGCGCGAAGAAGAATCCCGATCCCAACTCTAACACCATAAGAGAGAAGAAAGCTCTGACATAAATTCCCGATGGCATTGGCGACGCAAGAAACGTCAGCGTGATCACACAATTCCGCGTGAGATCCACGCGCCGCGGAGCGTTGTCTACGTTGAAGCTCCGCCATAGCATCGCGTAGCCTCTCCTCCGCTTCCCGAAGCCGGCGCTCAGCCTCCGAGCTGTCTTGAGACAAAGGAGAAATCGATGGAGGCGATGAAGAAGGATCCAAAGCCGGCTTGGAGAACGAAGAAGGCATCGTGAATTAATGGAAATTGAAATCGGAAAGCTTCTCAAGCTAAAGGAAAATGATGCAATCAGAGAAATATGTTGGGAGCAGTGAGGAAGAAGCGATGGGGATATGATGCTATGACACGTCATTACTTTATTATTTTGATTTCTTTCCTATTTTCTTATTTGGAAATAAATCCAAAATATTTTTTTTTTTCAAAATATTTGTTTATACCTGAAATGTTATAAAAAAAAAATGCAAATGGTTTCGTGATCCAAACCCAATTTCTGGCGATGTGTGTATTCTGGGACGCACATTTGTGATATTGTTAAATAGTCGCTAATCGGATTGCGATACGTAGTCGACCATACATAAAATGGTTGGCATGAAGTCGACCATGCATAAATGTGAACAATCCGATGCAACTACTCAAAACTCGGTTTCGTGACCGAGGTCATGTATATTTTCTATAAATACATCGTTACTGTTTCTAGTGAATATATATGGGGATACAGTTTCAACACCAATTTTGGTGAAGAAAATGGAATCATCTACGAATATTAAAATGTTGATAAATTACTACAAACCGCAACCATGTTAGGTCATCTATATAGGTACACACACCTTATGAACTAAAATGCTCTGATATCTCCTCTTTTCCATTCATCTCCCGGTTACGTCAAAGATATCTCCTCTTTTCCATTCATCTCCCGGTTAGAATCGAGTTCGCGCAACCGCATTCTCCATCCCCACTCCTCCAAAGTCCAAGCCCCTCTGAAAAATACTTGTCAAAAATATTTGAACCTCAAATCGCTCTTTGATCATTTCCAACACTAAACCAGTTTTTTCTTCCTCTTGATTTCTCTGACCCCCACCAATCACAATTATCTCACTTCGACTAGAAAATCTTATAGATATCAGGAGAAAAATTCCGAAATTATTGAAACTAATTGAAAAAAACGACATCAAAAACCAAACTAACCAAAATTTAAAATCCAAACAAATGTTAATTTCGGTTTTTATTTGGTGTCTGTCAAGAAAACTCAAAAACCAAACCAAACTATCTACTACCCACATAACCAAGTGTATTTCGATTTAATTCTAACATTTCCTGTTATAATCAGTAAACCAATACCAAAATTTTTGAATTGATCAAAACCAAACCGAATTACCGAACGTCTAACCCAAATTCTTTCACGGGGAACCGGTTTGGTGGTTTTTTGAAGTTAGATTGACAGCGACCACCGCTAAGATTAATCTAAAAACATGAAACGAAAGCAGCAAGAAGACGACAACGACGACGGCGTAGAGAAAGCCGTCTCTCCCGTCGTCGCCACCACCTCAAACACCATGAATACTGACCTACTTCTACAGTCACCTTCCAAACTATCACAGAAGCAGGATTACATCTTTCATGGAGGTAAAAAATGAATCCTCCAATCTTCACTCTCTCTTCAATCAACTAACTGTTCTTGTTTAATGGTTTGATTTGCTTGTGCAGGAAGACGCCATGTGAGACCATACTACTTCGAGTTCATTTCTCATGTAAGTATCTTCCATCTTTCTTCTTAGCCCTAGTTTTTGCTCATATAGTGGTGATTGAAATTGGTATCGATGTATAGGTGAACAAACGCTGGACAGGGAAAACAATTGTGGATTTGTTCGCCGACGAATTTAAAGGACGTCCTCGTGAATATTATGTACTGCTCTTGCTCTAGTTTCAAGGAATAATTAGTTTGGTGATAAATCTGGTGTTTTGGGATTTTGATATGTTTGAACTTTGTAGGTTGGTGCAGTCAAATCTGGAAGAATCAAAGTTGATGGAGAAATTGTACCAGTTTCTTACATTGTGAAATCTTCCCAAAAGATTACTCACTTCCTCCACAGGTTGTTCTTAAGCTAAACTTTATTCAGATATTTGCATTTGCTATTTGAAATTGAGATGCTAATCCTTGTTTCTATTTAAAAGATACCACAGTTTTGCATTGAATGTGTATCCAAATTTTAAATGTGTGAAAGGTTTCAGGCATGAACCACCGGTGATGATTGATGATGTAGTTATCCTTCATCAAGAACCTGACGTTGTTACTGTCTGCAAACCAGCTTCTGTTCCTGTGAGTATTCTTTCTGTTGGATTTCCACTCTATGTGGTCTCTGGAGAATGTGAAATACGTTTTGTTCAGAATGATTGAGAATTAGACCAAAAATTAAATAATCTGATTCTCTTTCTGTTAGTACTATTCCAAGCATTGTGAAATACAAAATTCACATTAGATGTTTAATGCTCAGGGTTTTTGTTCTTGTCTAGGTGCATCCATGTGGCCAATACCGTAAGAACACGGTTGTTGGCATCCTTGATGCTGAGCATGACCTAGGAACTCTATTTCGTATCCAGCCAACAGTATTAGACAAGGATACATTGTCGTAATGATCCTTCTTAAAAAATAGTACAATACGAGTTATCCTTGCATCATTTCACAGCTATTCACAGATTAGACCGTTTGGTTTCTGGATTGCTCATCATAGCAAGAACTGCGGCAAAAGCTGATTTTTTCAGGCAACAGGTACTCAAACAAGTTGGTCTCATTTTGCTTGGCTATACCATAATTCCTAAGATGCAATTCGCTCTGGTAAATCAAAATGTTGTACTTACTACTTGTCTTGATCGTTTCAGATTGAGGGTGGAATGGTGAAGAAACGTTATATTGCAAAGGTTATTGGTGTGTTCCCAGAAGATGAGGTTTGAGGTCCTTTTGATGTTATTACATGATTTTTGAACTGTCTCTAATTTCCAACTTCATATAGTAGCACGTGTGATGTTAATCAACATTAGAAAACTGATTTGAGGCCAGTCATATCCAAATCTCAAAATCTACCAGCTTATCGTGAGGAGTTATAACATGTAGAACATTTGAGACTTTTGGTTTGGAAGTTCATTTGATGTAGCTGCATGACTTTGATTTGTCAGATGATAGTCGACGCCAACATAGATTATAATGGCAGCGAAGGAAGAAGTACAGCAGAGGTAAAGCCACATTATGCCTCTAGTTATAGAGCATAAAATCTTCCATTAAACACTTAAGAAGTAAAATTATCGGAATGTGTATGTGGTTTATGTAGGACGCCAATTCAAGTGGTGATGATAAGAAGGTGAAAGGGAAGCCTGCATGTACCAAGTTCACTAGAATCGATACAAATGGGACTCATAGCCTCGTCTCATGTGAACCAGTGACAGGGAGAACCCATCAAGTAAGCAAGTGATTTTAGCAGCGGTTATACATATATAGTGGTTAAAACTTACAAAGCATCGATCTTTAGATTTTATTAGCCATAAGGATAGTAGCTAGAGAGAGTTTGGCCTTTTGGGGTTTCTCATTTTGGTTTTGACGTTTGTAGATACGAGTGCATCTACAATATACAGGGCATCCTATAGCGAATGACCCTCTTTATCTCAATCAACACATAGATGATCTTGAGACCTACATTGCAAAAAGAATTGATGCGGGTGAGAGAAAGATGGTCTCCCCAGACGACTATGTGTATTCCAGTGAAGATTTCAGCATCGATCCAATGTGCACAAACTGCCCAAAGTTGATCCCACAAGGGTAAAATAAAAATGCTAAAACCACCAACGTGTTATTGTTTTCATCCAAATGGTGTCTCATGTTTCTAACTTCTGCAGATATGAGGAGCATGACGAGGCTCTCTGGTTACACTGCGTTCAATACTCTGGAACTGGATGGAAATACGAATGTCCTTATCCATCTTGGGCATCCCTTTAGCTACATTTATTTGATACTGTAATTCTTGTTACCAACACTTGTGGCAACTGTATTGTATACATGTTCTACAAATATGCTGATTAGTGCTTACATGGAAGAGTATCAAGTTGATTCATTGGATTCAAAGATTCTCTCAGTTATCGATTCAAAGTTTTGTGTCATTATCATTTAAAACCGTGGACAAAAAAGAGGACCAATGAAATTAGATTAGATAGCCTAAGCTGTGGCAAAAAGATTACATACTCCCTCCGTCCCAATATATAAGATGTTTTAGACCTTTTCATTTGTTCCATTATATAAGATTTTCTCTACTTTCAATGCATGATTTATATTAGTTTAATAATTTTTAATTATTTAATTATGCAGTACCTTCTTCTATTGGTTGAATTTTCATAAATGAGAAAACATTTCTTGTTTCTTAATCTCTGTGTTTTTAGTCCAAACATCTAATAAAATGGGACAGAGGAAGTATTAGATATGAAGCGACTTGTAGTTGCTCTTATATATTGACATATTGTGTTCAACCATGTCATAATTTGATTTTCACAAGGCTAATCAAAAAAATCAACAACTTGTCCTTCTTCTTCAATGAGGCATCTGGTTGTTATGTTCATTTCTGGAACGCAAGAATCTGTCTATCAAACCCTTTGCTTGCACCGGACAAGCTTGATGTAAGATCTTCTACTGTTCTAAAACCAATCTGTGCCAAAACCAAAACACAAGTAATGGAACATGAGGATCCAATCTTAAATGCGATCAAGTGAAAAAAAAGAAGAAGCCAAGACTAACTCATTACACAATTTAGTTTTGAGCTAGATTTAAAGTGAAACTCTTAATCTAACTTTGAACAACACTTATACTATTGCATGGCAGAATTTACAGATGATGTTGGAGTATGGGCGAGGCGAAGTAAGGAATAAAATGGAGTAGACAGAGTACCTTATCAAGAAGAATTTCTTGGAAACGGTCTGGTCGTAAAACAATCGTTCGGTAATTCATTGCAGTTGTCTGCAAACACACAAGGCAAACAAAGACTCAAACTATATATCTAGCTAACTTGTGCAATTAGAAAGAAAATTGTGTATATACACACCTCTGAGACACGACGATTGTTTTCATAAGATTTCCAAGGCTGAGGTTCCATTACAAAGATACCACCCTGAAAAGCAAAGCCAACTGTCAGTTACACATATGAAAAAAAATAATGGGCACATGATTTAAGTATAATATAGTTACCGGTTGAAGAAGACGCCAAATTTTTGAAAATAAGGTGATCAAACCATCATCACCCCAGTTCAAATGAACCCATTTTGTCACACTCAAACTGCATCGAAAAGAAACATGTCATCAGTAAAGCTGTTATTTTCAATTTCAGCATAAGAAATCCAAGACAGAGGAAGTTTTGAATGGAACTAAAAATGTGACCTCCTTCTAGGAAGGCTTAGTTACATAAGCTAGCCTAACTAAAAAAACCTCCTGTGAGGCTTTTCTCAACTACAGTTGGAATTTCATATGCACTTTTAGGTATGAGCATTACCAAAAGAACCGGTGACTGTTCTTTTGTTTCTAATCATCCCAAATGGCAGAGGCCAAACGTACAAGTGAGAAAAGGAAAGGGGTTTACCATAGAATTGTATCATAACGATTCTCGTCAAGATTTCGGGTTTGAACAAAATTCTCTTTCTGAAAAGTCACAATCTGAGACAGGTCTTTAGTTTCTGCGCTATCTGTCTTTGCCTCGCCATTGGAGAGAGAAACAGATTGCTCTTTCGATCCATGTACTCCATCAGCACCCTCCGAACTAGATTTCTTTTCACTAGGCTTAGCAGAATTCTGCATTCTGACAAACTTCCTAAGATGCCAGTGAGCATCCTCAATCCGACCTTCAATCAAAGAAAATGTAGTTTATTGCACAAGTTTCAAAATAATCTGATGTTCTTTGTTTTCACTTGAGTTAATATGAGATACTTGATTAAATCAAACACAACATTTAGTGCAGACTTGAATGATAAATAGTTTAATTCAGTTCATATACAAAGAAAACCTTGAAAGATATTATGACAAGCAGTAGTTCTTACTTGAATCAATGTCAACTCCAAGAATGCTCCGGCAACCAAACTTTTTAGCTGAAGAAGTGGAAAAACAGATATCAGGTAACCATTACATAAAATTGTAGATGCTCAGACACAATGAAAGTCATTATCACACTTTACAATAGTATTCTCATAAGGACAAGTATAGTTTCAACAAAATCCTAGTTAGGCTACATCTACATTAACCATTACATAAATACTATAATGGGCATATAGGTTCTTGAACTAGGAACAAATAATGATATTCATAAGCAGAACATACCAATATGGATAGTCATAATGCCGCTGTTGCAACCAATGTCAAGACAGTCTTTGCCCTCAAACCATTCCTTCTTCAAGACTTTAAGCCGAGGATCCTCATCCGTATCATGGCTTATCTAAAACATTACATTTTTTATTATCAAAAGAAATCCAAAAATCAGATACTAAAACCAATATTGATACTAAACAAGACAAGGAAATAACAAGTGAAGAGAGAGTTACTCGGTAGCCATAGTAGTTTCTGTAATTTCCGAAGGGATAAACTTCTTGATTCTTCTTCTTCTTGCTTTGATTACAATTCCCTTGTTGCTGCTGCTTCTGCTTCTGCTGTGTTGGGACTTTCTCTTCATTAGTAACTACTTTCTCAACACTCTTCTCATTCTCATTGTTTCTGTTTCTCTTCTTCTTATTTTTCTTCTGATCGTTGTCTAAACCCATATTTTTCTCACACGCCGTTGGTTGATGAACAAAGTTTGCGAAGTTAGGGTTTCTTTTATGTTACCGCTATCAGCTAGATGATTAGAATCAAAACCAAAACGATCAGCCTAAATAGAGAGATTCGAAGAAGCTAGCTCCTAGAGAGGTTTTTCTTCGAGGTTAAGCGGCGCAGAGCGAAGAAGAAGAAGAAGAACCGACTTTGAAATCGAAAAGGGTTTAACGAGTCTCTTAATTTAAGTAATTCTCTCCTTTTTTAATTACTATATTTTTAAAACCGATTTATGTAAATATACGAAAGTTTCCTTTTCTTTCATTTTTTATTTGGTAAATTATTTTTATGCCTTCACGGTTTTTCGCATAATATGCCAAAAGATGCATCAAATCTAGAAGAGTTTGAGTTTGAGTTTAAGTAGGTGGAGGTAATTCTCAATGGAAAGCTTGTGAGTTATTGTGACTTGTTTTGAAGATTAAAAAAAAAAAACAAAGGAACTCAAAATGTTGCTCTTGTCATCAAATATTGTACAGAAAATCTAAAATATAATTCCCATCTCTCTTTGCCATACAATTCTTCAACTCATCTCTGTTAATCGAAGCAACTACAGCACCCGACGAACCGAGTTGATGATGATAAGCCTTCCTGAAACGAAAGGCAGCTGCTACTTTTAACACCAATTTGCCTAATTAGTACGGTCTGTAGCGCATCGGCCGTCTGAACCTGGGAACTCTCCTGCACAAACCATCAACCATTAGTGATTTTATGAACAACCATGATGCGTCAAACAAATGGACTTCTCATATCTCCTTTTATCAGACTCTTAAGTGTTATATAAGTCAATAAAACCTAAACGTTGCTAGTTTTGTTTAAAAGAGAGGAAAAGGCAGATAAGTTTCTAGAACGCACCCATAAGCATATGGAGGATAAAATGGAACTCCGGGCATGAATCCCCTCATTGGTCTAAAGGGACGCCTTCCTCGAAATTGCCTCATTCCGGGGACATTAGTTCTCTTTGCAGATACCTGGAAATAGATTAAACAAAGTTTCGTTATGACAAATCTTTAGATACAAGACAATTGACTCCATCTCGGTGAATGAGTTTGCACCTTTATCTGGCGACCATGAAGTTCTGACTCGTTCAAAATAAGAGAATTCTGAACAGCTTCTACTTCCACGAATTCGACATAGGCAAAACCTTTAGGTTGACCAAACTTATCTGTCAGAATCGTAACCCTATTCACTGTCCCACAGGATTGAAAATGCTGCTGGACTTCCTCTGGAGTACATGCATAGTCCACCTAATATACACAAAACCAAAGACACATTATAGCTAAAGAATCAGCGGGGAATAACGATTCACATATACTAAAAAACGCCACAGATGGGAGATAAGGCTTTATGAAATATGAAGGTAAGTAGGTTAGCATATACTGGAGACAAAGAAACAAACAACAATCAGCCCCCAAATTTCATTGATATCAAACCAGTATAAGCACAGACTTTCTTTGAAAAAGATACAAACACAAATGAGAAGCATGTGAAAATTAATGGTGGAAAGCCTCACATTGCCGACATATATTGAACGCGAATCCACTTCTTCCTTCTCAGCAGCACTAACACCACCTGAAGGATCTTCATTGATATGCAACAACAAAAAGGGTATTGACCGGATTAGCTAAAGGGTATTCTTGCCGATAAGACTCGAATGTTTCAATCGAATTCAGCACCAAAGCAAAATACTACTAATGATTTCCTTCTCATACTCAAACTCCAGTAAATTTCTTGACAGATTCATTGATTCACTAAAAGATTCCAATATGTAAACCGAAAGCAATATCATAATCAACAAGTCACGCTCTAAACCTAATCTATCAATTCAAGGTTTATGTAAAGCTAGGAACAAAGATTCAAGATTCTACGCATTAGTTAAGAAAGCACAAACCTTGACCAGCACCCATATCTTTCTCAGCTTTGGCTTGCATTTCACGCAAAGCTCCAGCTTCTTCCTCAATCTCCTTAATTCGTTTCTTCATATCCTCTAAGTCCTAAAACGAACCCATCAAAGCAAAGAACAGACTAAATACAGTGACAAACAAGAAGAGTCTCAATTAGATAAAAGTAAAAGATAGATCGAAGAATCACAATACCCTAGAGCTAGAGCCAGGTTCAAGCTCCTCATCTCCGGCGGCGGCGCCTTCTTCTCCGCCGTGTTCTTCGTACTCCTCCGTATCCATCTCTCCTTCTTCCTCTTCCGGGATCTCTCCACCGTACACCTCATGCTCTTGCTCGTCGTGCACCGGCATCTTTCTCTCTCCCTCTCTCTCTATATCTCTCACTCGGCGACTGTCGTTAAAGCGAGAAAACAGAATTTTAGGGCTTGAAATCGGGAAAGAAGGGAAGGTTTGTTTGTAATTAAAGATACCCAAAAAGGATAATTTTGGAAATTACAAAATCTTAAGTAGATTCACCAAAAGTAGACACAAAAGTACAATCAAACCCAATGGGCTTCTCAGATTAAATATGTGACGTGTCATGTCGGTCCCATGAATGTTTATTATGGGTCCCATTTAATGATTACGTGGCACCTCACCCATTTTAACTCAAGCCAGTGGTCTGAAAATCGTTTCGCTCTCTAAAACCAAAAACTCTTCTTATCTTCGACACAGAGCAACAAAACACAGGTTCCGATGGCCGCCACGTCATCATCTCCGCCGTGTAACATCTCCGTCCCCTCCCTCCTCCTCCGTAAACCATCTTGCACAATCCTCAAAGTGTTCGGTTTATTACCACCTACGAGTAGGAGTAACCGTAAACTAGGCCGGTTAACGGTGACCCGGTCTAATCTGGCGCAAGATTTTCTCGGTGATTTCGGAGCTCGTGACCCTTACCCGGAGGAGATAGCGAGTCAATTCGGAGATAAAGTGTTGGGATGCCAAAGCACTGAGCACAAGATTTTGATACCAAACGCTTCTGTTTTGTCTCTCTCTCAGCTTCAATGTTCCCCTGTTTCGCCTTCACAATCTCCTTTGTCGGCTGATGATGCAAGAACACTCCTCCATAAGGTATTTATACTAGTTCTCTCTAGCTCTCCTTTTCTTTGGTTGATCAAAATGTTGTGAAGATAAGATTGATCCAGTGTTTTAACAGATTTCTAGTCCATAAAGATAGAATTTTGACCCAAAAAAATAAGCCAAAGAAGATTTAGTATCATGAGAGACATATTAGTGTTGATAAGGCTCATGGTTTACTCTTCTCATTGACCAAATGGTGTTTAAACCTTCTTTGGTTCACGGTGATAACTCTAAATGATATGCTACATCAATCTCAATGATTATTATGTAAACGCTTTAGGTTTTGGGATGGAGTATAGTGGAGGATGAAGCTGGCGGTCTGAAAATAAGGTGTATGTGGAAAGTGAGGGATTCCGAGTGCGGTGTTGAACTCATAAACAGGATCAATAAGGTTGCTGAAGCTTCTGGTCATTACCCTTCTCTTCATGTGGAAAGTCCTACTCAAGTTCGAGCTGAACTATCCACCACTTCTATTGGTATGTCTAACATACAAATTAATATCCGTTGTTTGTGTTTTGAGTTTTTAAGATATGGTTTCTTAAGAGGGTTTGTTGTTGGTTTTTGGATGAATAATGCAGGAGGGTTGAGCATGAATGATTTCATAATGGCTGCCAAAATAGATGATATCAAGACTTCTGATCTTTCCCCTAGGAAAAGAGCTTGGGCATGATCCTTTTTTCATTATTTTGTAACATTTTTGTTTGATAATATATGTAATGTATGTGATGGATTGATTCTTAATTGTGTATGAATCGGTCTACATGACTACATGTCAAGTTTTATAGAAGCTATGTATTCATCATCATCTTGGAAAGCATTGTCATAATCGCATAAGAGATATCGCGCGACATGTCTTTGAGATTCATTCATCAATCAAAAGAAAAAATAACATCAATCAAAAGATTTTATAACTGAGCAAAATATAAGAAAGGGGACATTATTATTAGATTTAGATCATTGCTTCTTATTTTAGTTTTTTTTTTCTAAAACATTCTGGGACTAAAAAAAATTCGAAAATAATGTTTAACACAACTACTATTTGCACCCTAGTGTGCGGTGGTTGGAGGAGCAGCACTTTTGGAGCATTTTTGTTTAACCATAGGAGGGAAAAACGGGTTGAATGGAAGATTCGGTGTGCAGTTAGCTTCAGCGTCAAGGAAAGCTTTACAACAAGCTGGACCGATGCTGCCAAATTTACCGGTCATTACGGCTTGTTGAATCTCTTGAAAGCATCCTGGCAAATCCATCACTGTTGACCAACATTTGCTCATGTCGGGCATTCCGGGCATACCGGGACTTGGATGGAACGGGTTGGGAAGTGCTGGCATACCAGGACTTGGCTGGAATGGATTTGGAAACGGGAATGGGAATGGGAGTGGGGGCAACTGCGGTAGCTGGGCATTGACGGAGGCTGCGATGCATACAACCACTAGGAGAGAAACAACACTCTTGATCGACATGATAGATATATTGGGGTTTAGGCAACAAGAGAAATAGATGATGACTAGTTTTTGTTTGATGAGATTAAGTATTAGGCTTTGTGGTCCAATTTATATGGAAAACAGTGGAGTAGGGACAGTAATTAGTTTGGCGAAACGTAATTAAAAAGATACTTTCAAATCAATTTTTTCGATTTAATTTTGGAAGAAAATAAAAAACAGTCAAAACGTTTGATAATGGAGTAATGAGGCACATTAAATTTGATGATATCAAAAGGATTTTTGACCATTTTTGTATTTGGTCATTCGATATTACAGTTGGATTCTTCACTGTAATTTGGTTTGATCGACTTAACAATAGGAGGAAATTAAGTAGATGACAGAACTCACAAAAGGGAAGCAATCCCAAATTTTTTTTAAATCGATCTCTTTAATCTTTTAATTTATATCATCTCCTAATCTTTTGAGATTTTAGAAATTTTATTTTTAGGCGGTTTCCTAAATGATCAGGAATTTTATAAAATGATTCAAAAGGTCAGTTTCGAAAACATACGAATATTTGAACTATAGTGAAATTCCATTGTATTATTTTATTTTAACCATTTTTTTTTGGTTCAGAAGGACAGAGATATTAGTATTTAGCAGTGACAAAAAAAAAGAACCAGACACGGCTATTTGCTGAGTTACTTTAATTTCCAAATAATACTTTCAAAAATTTTACATGTTAAAATTTTACTTTATTTTTGACGTAACTTCTATATGGTAAAACAATAACGAGTAACAGGTGAAAGAGTATTATATTTTTTTAACTAAATGTTATTTGGGTTGTAATTGCAAGTAACCGGTACCAACGAGTAATCATGCCCAACTCTAACAAATTTGATAATCAAAAAGTCTAATTGACTTTGAGATAAGAAGGCTCTCTGTATATTTTTGTTGCAGACTTCTTCAAATCATATAAACTAGGTGATTGCCCGCGCAAATGCGCGGGAAGAATGTTGTATGAATGGTAAAATCATGTGAAATAAGGGATTGTTTAGGTGTTACTTGGTAGTGTAAGAAAAATATGGTAAATTGTTTAGGGTTTAGTGTGGTAAAAATATGGAAAATGATGAAATTTAAAAAATTCAATATAATATTATAAATGCTAAGAAAATAATAATAAATCATCTTTTAAAAGCATTCACCAAGAAAATAAGAAATCAACGAACATCATCACTCCATGGCATTCTCCTTCCGTGTGATGATCGGTACTTGGTCATTTTCAGGATTCCTGACATCCGATTTAGAACACCATAAACAGTGAATGTTCAGTCGCCAACTTTAGAGTTTTGATTGTAAACGGAAAAAAAATACTTACCAACAAAGCATCTCGTCGGTAATACTGAGATCCGGATTCAACATAATCCTCGTACTTCCGGTAACATTGGTACATCTCCACTTATGTTCCTGTGATAGCTCTAATTTCACAAACTTGATAATACATATCACTGTGTTACGTGAACGATGCTTCCATAAGTCATAGAACTCGACTGCAAGGTCACCCGTTAAACGACACTCTAGATGGATACACCTAATTTTAAGATTTGAAGAAGCCATAAGACTTTATATTCTGGTTTAAATCTTTAAAAGAATAGTGACTTACTCAGTATCACGTAAACCAAAGTACAGCTCAAAATATCCTCCTTGAGAATGTTCCACGGAAGGAACAAAAACCAACTCTCTCACGTTGACAATTTTGCCAACAACATCTATGAAACACACACATGAATAATACAGTCAGAACATGAACCGCAAATAAACTCCAAAAGCAAAAATAAATTTATAAATTAGGCTTACCAACGCAAATATTCGGATTAACAATACCACTCAATATACTCACAAACTCAGTTAGATTGAAATAGGTTCTACTGGAGCACATATTAATACTTTGCACTAAAGTGTCCGAACGAAACACAATCTTGAATCTATGCGGTACTTGTCTCAATATGCTGTTAACCCGTGATACATCAAAATTTTTAATGCTCACCCACTCATCGATTATCAATCTTGAAAGATAATTATCAATTAACTCATCACGAACAACGGCTTGGATTTGGGTGAACTGCAAATAAAACGTTAAAGACAAAACCAATTCAATTTAATATCGAAAACATGTATAGAAGGTAAGTTATCAAAAACTAACATGCTCGTCACCCAAAATCATATTGAGCTCTCTACCCGAGCCACGCGAAACAGACCAACAATTCAAAATCTTCACCGAGACAGACCACTCACCCATGTTAGGGTTAAGAGACGCAATATGAAAATAACCACCATCACATGAATCAGAGGTAAAAGGTATCATTGTAGAACCCATATCAAAAGATTACGCGGCTAAACAATCCAATGAGGTATAAACGCGCGATACGTATATGTAGACCTAACAATTATTTGGAAAGAACATAAAAATGGAAAATATATATTAAAAACTAAATCAGGAAATTAACAAAAACGAATATTGATTAAACGATATAGAATTTATCCATAAGATTAATAAGTTAAGTTTAGAAAAAAGAAACTAAATCTCAACAGTTAAACTGAAATATATACTAACGAAATTTAAGGGTAAAAATATATCACTCTATTATCAACACCATAATAATAATATATACAAATGGTGTAAGTTATTAGGCACGCAAATACAGTTCCATTTTACCTAACGACGGAAACCGAAACCACACGATGCATTTTGACGAACAACCTTTTTGAATGAGTAATACAAAAAACAATAACCAATGAAAAGGTATGTATGTCGCCTCAAACAGAGTTTTTAACTAATATCATATAACATCTTTT